GTCCCACAGGTAGACCGAACTTAAGGTTTGTAGTTGGTGATACAACAATGATAAGACTAAATAGCAAGGCTTCAATGATTAAACAAAATATTGTAACCATATACGTGTTAAACAAAAACAATGAAACCAAAAAAATTTAAAAGGAGGTGGAGACCAAGCACTAAATATTTTCAATTAGGATGGGGAAATGGGTTGCTAACATCATCAGTAGATTTCGAAATGTCACATTAATCAATTAAATAGCACTAAACACATAAATTGCCAAAGCACAAAAGTACAATTAAGGCACTAAAATGAAAACAAAATATCGCCAAGAAGAGAGAACACTTCTCAATTTTGTAGTCCTACCTATTCAAAAAGATAATAGAGTTCTTTCTTAATCTACACATGATTCATATCTTATAAGTTATAACTACTAAAAGTGGAGCAATAGAAGTTCAGGAAAAGAAATCCAAGATAGTAGATTTCACTATTGGAACACTACCTTGGATGATAAGTTAATCTTGGCCACGTCTATGGACGATAAGTTAATCTTGGCCACGTCAGTCAACATCATTAACATTGACGCTCTTCTTCACTTTTCCAGTACTCAATCAGTGCATCTAATTCTCGGCAGGCACTTGGAGGAAAATTTCTTGCCAGGTATCTGATTATGTGAAAACATAATTCAGTTTCTTGTTTCTGCGTAAACTAATCTCCTTGGGAACAAATCAATCATTCTACTTTTGCGTATGAACATATTTACTTAACACTCTTTGCAAAGACTCTAAACCAGATATTAAAGAAGAGGAAACAAATTCATGGCCAACACCGGTCTAGTTGGCATCAACACCCATTGGAAAGCTCTCCGTGGAAAGCTCAAGCGAGGATTAATAGTTCCAGCCAGTGAAGCTTCTTTCATTTAAGGGCATCACATTTCAATGAATTGGTACTACAGGCCTGAAAAAGGAAATCATAAAGCCTACCTAATAATTATATGCACTAACCATCAAAATAATAATAATAATTATTATTATTATTATATGCACTAAAACCTGATCAAGTAATTTCCCAGGTAGGTTCACACTTTGCATCCAAGGGCACCAAATTTATGTAGTGATAGCACATTTAGCACACACAAACTACTACTTAGAAACCATAAGCTTAGTGGGGAGCAATCCAGCAGCCTCATTAGGGTAGTCACTCACAGGAATCGCAAAATGAATCCTTTCATGACCACATAGAGCAACAATCTGCCGACATGGTAACACAAAAGGGGGGAAAATAAGTGTAGTTAGTATCAACCATCCATATCAGTAGACAAACTGACAAAAGATTTAGGAAGAATATGGACAGAAACCATTATTACTGATCCTTGTGGTTCGGATCTTGGCCATAATCCTTAGTAATCAGATGTAACCTACCAAAGAGAATTAGCATACGATTTAGAGACAGGGAATACATAACCACCAACATACTTCTACTTCAAACAAATACCACAAAACATAAATGAAAAACTATGTAATCGATCACAACAAAAAACAGATCAACAGAAAATCTATTCAGAGAATAGGGGACAAAGCCAACAGAAAATCTATTCACTGAGATTTCTAACAAATAGAAAGTTACCGAAACTACAATAATTAATGAGCACGATAAGAAGCAAGACAGGTAATTTTGCAGACACCAACAGAGTATACATACAAACCTGCAATGAACAGTTACAAGAAAGGCTGCACACAGAAAATTCACATAGTTCTAAAGTGAAAAACCAAACTCGACAACTCTGTACACTACCATTGTAACCAAGATAAAAGAAAAACACAGGGAAGATCCTGAATCTATATCAGGCAAAGGATGTATACCATAATAGAAATAACTCAGGCTAATACAATATCTCCATATAACTTAGCTTCTTTTAGTACCCATTCCAAATAAATAAATCTTAAGTGCTCTTGAAAAAACATGTTTACTTCCATCTGCTGACAAAATGCTATTACCAATTATAGAATACCATTAGCTTAAGCCATACATAGCACAATCGAAGGAAAAATCGGTGAGAGAACATAAATTCACATAAATAAATCTCCTGTTTTTTTCTTTTGGGGGGTTTTCAGGATGTGGATTTGACTAATATTATCGTGCTTAACTCGTTCCTGCAGCTTAAACTTTCTGAAGAAGCCACATATACTGATATACTGCCATGTGATCACATTTTCTGCGGGTAATCTTTCCTTCCGTGGTGGTCGCTTTTGGATGGCTTTCTCTGTTGACTTGCAATTGTTTGACTTGGATCTATCAAATGTATTGCAGGTCGTGCCTACCCAAATCCAAACAGCTGGGTCCGGAATTTTGGTAGTGATCTAGCTTTTAGGTTGTTTGGAATGGGAAGTTCCTTTTATGCATTGGTAGTGATCTGCATTCCGTAAATCTGTGATGTTTGGTGTAGAATGGTAGTGTTCAGTTGTAATGTAGCTTTTAGGTTGTTTGGAGTGGTAGGTTCTTTTCATGCATTGGCAGTGATCTGCATACCTGTGATGTTTGGTGTGGAATGGTAGCTTTTAGGTTGTTTGGAATGGTAGGTTCCTTTTATGCATTGATAGTGATCTGCATACCTGTGATGTTTGATCTCGAATGGTAGTGTTCAGTTGGGTAGGTAGCTTGGTGTTCTATGCAACAGTAGTGGTTAGCTTTCCATGCATTGGTATTTGTTCGTCCATTCTACAATGGTACTGGTTAATGATACTACCTTCCATTTTTCGATTTTAGTAATGGCAAGAACCAAGAACCCCAATCGTGGGGCTTCAAAGAGCAAGAAACCTATTCGTGGAGCCTCAAGAAGCAAGGAACCTGTGAGCTACATCAGTCGTTAGGTACAAGTTGGAGGTGGTCAAACCTCTGCCGTTGTTGAAGCTGTTCCGAAGAAGGTTAAGGGCAAATCTAAATCACATGGGAAGAAGTGCAACCCTGAATCGATTATAACAATTGTCGAGAATGGTATATCGGATGCAACGAAAGAACTAATAAGTAAGCTCGGAATGGATTTTGTATTCCATTTGAAGATGAAGAGGTTTGATAGCGAGCTTCCCGTTTTGAACCCTTCTTTGTTGCAGTGTGCTGCAATGTATAAAACCTTCCGTTCTTTAAGATATTTAGGCTTTCTAGTCTGTTGTCCAATACGTCTTACTCCAAAACCCCTCCAGTGCGCGAAGTCCTCGTAGAACTTGACAAATGCTTCCCTATTGTCAAATCTCAGATGTTGTCATGTCGATTTGTCGTCTGGTACAGCTTTAATTACCTCAGCTGCAAAATGTATTACACGAACGAATCACTACCATTGAAGTAGCTCATACTACCACTAGCAAATCACAACCATTTGCTACTAAGAAAAACAAGGAGCAAACAACACAACTGCTGCAAAAATGTATAACAAGAACGAATCAATACCATTTTAAAATGCTACTCGTAAGACAAATACCAATCCAATGAATACCAATACAGTCATTATAAATTTGAATGCACTCAGTAGATACATTAGACCACTACCATTGTGGAGCAAGAAAGTAAGTAACAATACCAATCCAAGGAATACCAATCCAGTCACGAGAATACCAATACCATTCCAACAAAATACCAATATAGTGACTACCATTGCAACCTAAAAAATACGGAACAATTTGCATCCAAACCACACCATCATCATGGAAATTGCCCACCTTCATCAAAATTGTCGCGTGTGACAGATTCCTCCACGATCGGATCTCTGGCGATATCTGAACCTTTCCAAGGGGTTGCCAACCAAAAGCGGTGTTATATTTTTCCGTTCAAGCGAAAGCATACAATCATGTATGTTAAACTAGGGTTGTATTCTCACCGTCGTCGCTTTGCATTGTCGTTCCGTCCTCCTCTCCACCCGACACATGACTTTCTCCGAACAACTCCTCCATTGTTAGCCTTCTCAACTCTACCATATCTGGCGATGGTGCAACGTCAACCGCCACCATTTTCCCCCTTCGGCCGCGGTTACACTGCGAATTTCTTTTCCTGCCGGAAATCGTGGTCTAACAGAGCCCTACGGTGCATAAACCTCCTTATAATTAGTTTCCTTAATTATCTCTTCCTAATTAACTGCGTAATTAAAATGGTAGTTTGAATTAGAATGGAAGCAAAATATCCTTCTTATCCCTAGTAACTAGGGTGGTTACTAACTCTAAGTATCCACCATAACTAGGGATGGCAATGGGTCGGGTTTTGTCAAACCCAAATCCAAACCCATGAGTTTATCCGTGAAAAAAACCCGGGGTAAAACTCACTGGGTTTGATAAACTCAAACCCAACCCGCTGGGTATCTGCGGGTTCATGGGTACCCACGGGTTTTTGTCGTAAAAAATTTACAATAACAAGTTCCTATCAAAATTAAAGTCAAATATCAATCTCTCAGTACAAATTATCCATATATAAAACACCATTCTAGAAAATTCAAACAAATCATAAATTAACTATACAAATTGTTCAACACCAATCTAGAAAACTCAAGAAAATTGAAGCAAATCACAAATTATCCATAAATAACATGATTAATTGAAAGCTTCTTCCTTTCAATTAAGTTTGTTCACTCTCCAGTCGATAACATCAACTTTATTCTACACAATTAAAATGAAAAAATTAGACATGTCTCCACAAACATAAATAAGATTAGTTGTTTAGAATATTAAATATACCGAGAAAATTAATTATATGAGTGTGGCGGGTACCCATGGGTCGGGTTTATCTAAACCCAAACCCAACCCGGTGAATAGTGAACGAGTTTAAACCCAAATCCGACCCAAAACCCGTCAACACGGATTTTACCCGCGTTGACCGGGTTGGATCGGGTGGGTACCCATGGGTTCGGGTTTTGTTGCCATCCCTCCATTACTCTTCCCCTCCACCCAGCTTCAATTCCTCCATCTCAGCCGTCCACGTGGCGCATCTCGGCCAACATCGATCGCCTGAAAACCTCGCCACATTGGAGCGGCGAGAGGCGATACCGCTCGCGTTCTTCTGTTCCCCAATGACACCACGAGCAGTTTTCATTTCGCCATAGTAGTCGTTCACAGTGTTAATGGCGGGTGAGAATACTATTGGAAGGACAATGAATCTAGGGTTCCTTCATCTCCAGAAGCTCGCCCTCGAACTCAAATGCCCTCTCTGGTTAGCCCCTCAAGAGCTCGCTCTTTTCCGCCTTTATCTCCTCTAAAGCTTGCTCCTTTTCCCCTCCTGATCTCACTCGACTCCTTTGCTGTTCCCGGCATTGGCTTATGGATGGTAATACCAGGGTGGGATATTCCTCCGCGGAAACCCTAATGTGGTTGTAGGAATTCTCCTGTTTTTTTTCTTTTGGGAGGTTTTCAGGATGTGGATTTGACTAATATTATCGTGCTTAACTCGTTCCTGCAGCTTAAACTTTCTGAAGAAGCCACATATACTGCCATGTGATCACATTTTCTGCGGGTAATCTTTCCTTCCGTGGTGATTGCTTTTGGATGGCTTTCTTCCGTTGACATTGCAATTGTTTGACTTGGATGCTATCAAATGTATTGCAGGTCGTGCCTACCCAAATCCAAACAGCTGGGTCCGGAATGCCCTTACTGTAAGGTTCCCTGCGCTGATGAAGGTATGCATCCATTTGCTTTCCATGTCCGTTTCAATTTGGGGGGAACTAATCAAAGCCATTCCTTTTGGACTTCGGTCCATCTCCAGAAACTGAATGAGAAAGAATAGTGATGGCAATTTCAACCCGCTCCGCGGGTATTACCCGACCTGACCCGCGATGGGGCGGGTATTACCCGACCCGCAGTAGCGTGGGGCGGGGCATGGGTATCTACTTCCGCCCCGCCCTGCCCCGCCCTGTTCTTGACTCATTTTATCTCAATTTCTTACAATATCTATACATATTTATCCTATTTTGACTTTTCTTCAACTAGTTAGAGTCGATCTTTCAACTTGTTAGGCTCAATTATTCATTCTATTATCAATATTTTTCATTCTTAAAGTGCTTTCCCCTACGTTTTATTGTAAAAAGTAATATTTACTCGTATTTTTTTTGAACAACATGTAAGAGTGGGTCGACCTGCCCCGCCCCATACCCGCGCGGGTTTTACCCGCCCCGACCCGTAGTAGCGTGGGGCGGGACATGGGAATTGAGGTACCCGCCCCGCCCCGCCCCATTGCCATCACTAAGAAAGAAGCTTGCTTTGCTAATATGAAAATTGTGTGGTAGAGAATGAGTTTAGCTTTCAGGAGGGTAAAAAATCCTTATGTTTGGTTGCAGATAGTAGGCACCTGCCCTTCATCGAGAACCTTGTGACGATCTACAAAGGACTGGATGCTGCTTTTCATGCCACTGCAGTGCAGTCGGTTGGTTCTGGTATGGCCTCTCTTCCATTGATTATATAGTATAATTGTCAATGACCTTGCTCAGCCTTTCCTTGTGTGGCTGAAATCATCTGCAACTTTCTTTCGCCTTCATCAAGGTCCCCAGGGTTTAGGCAGCAAAGATGAATCTCTGAAAGCTAGCTTCAACCACAGCATTCAAGTGAGAAATTGCTCATTTTCACCAATGAGCAAGACATCCTATCAGAGACAAATTCAAAAATTTCATCCGCCTCTCCAACGGCCACCAAAGCAATCAGATGGAGCGACGTCGTCTCAGGGAAGTCAGGCAACACTTCGACTGGAACGCTGCTGTCTCAAAGCCACACTTCGAAGATGATCAATACGATGCCGTAGAGAACATCCAAGACTAAAGGAAGAAACGTCGCCGTTGTGTACTGGAGACACAACGTCTCTTTCCCTTGTCCAGAATTTGTTCCCTCTTTCTCTGTTTTTCTGTACTTCTTCTCTGCCAAGTTACAGCTAGAGCTTCTTGTCTTGTAATGCACGATCCTTGTATATAAACCCAATTGAATCAATGAGAAAAGCTAAGTTAGGGTTTCCAAGCATACCTGTTGTTATGGTATCAGAGCAACCCTAGCCGCCGCTCAACAATGGCTGCAAACCCACTCCCAGATCCCACAGCGGATCCCTTTTATCTCCATGGTTCTGAGCAACCTGGACTCCTCCTGGTAGGTGAGAAGCTGACCACCACCAATTACAATGATTGGAGCAAAGCTATGCTCAACGCTCTGGCCGCCAAGAACAAGCTTGGCTTCATCAATGGTACCATTCCTTCCCCTGATCCCACTGATGCTCTGTTTTCTTCCTGGAGCCGCAACAACATTATGGTCCTCAGCTGGATCCAACAAGCTGTTGATCAAGGTATTAAGAAGACAATCATGTCTTCCAAGCTGGCCTCCGAAGCCTGGAACAGCCTGAAGGCTCGTTATGGTCAAGGTGATATGATCCGCGTGGCTGAGTTAATCGAAGCCATAGGCACCATCAAACAAGGTAACCAAACTGTTAGCGAATACTATGGAAATCTCATAGCATTGCAAGATGAGCTCGACAACTACCAACCTATCAATCCCTGTCGCTGCACTGCCACTAGCCATATAGAATGTGCTTCTCTGAATGCTGTGCTTGGATATCGAGACATCAACTCTGTCATTCAATTTCTTCGAGGTCTTAATGATAACTATGCTACTGTCCGTTCCCAAGTCCTGTTTGGAGACACTCTCCCACCCATTGATAGGGTTTTCCAGCGTGCTTTGCAACATGAACGCCAACTCTATGGCACTCAACAAGGCAAAACCATCACTGTTGAGGGTTCTGCCTTCTCTGTTCAAGGATCCAAAAGACCTTTCAACTCAGTTAAACGACCTCAATGCACATTCTGCAACAACCAAGGACACACTGAAGACACATGCTACCATAAACATGGGTGGCCACCTGGTTTTTCATCCAGAGGTTCAACTACAAGCACCAATCCATCTGCTAAACCCCCTGAGTGCACCTTTTGCAAGAGAATTGGCCACACTGAAGAGAAGTGCTTCAAGAAGCATGGTTACCCTCCACCATCTCAGTCAAGACAATCCCAGCCTCGACCAAGAACAATGATCAATGCTGCTGATGGCAACTCCTCAACAGCTGAACAACCTGAATTCAAGCTCACCAAGACAGATTATGAGAAGCTGATGGCCCTGATGAATGACAATCTCAAAGGCAAATCATCTTACCCTACTCACACAGCTGCCTTGACTACTCATTATGAACCTGAATCTTCAGGTAATCACTCATGCTCACTACTACCAAATAGCATTACTGCTTCCCCATGGATCCTTGATACAGGTGCAACTGACCATATAGTCAGCTCCCTAACCTTCCTTCACACTTCACGCAAAGTTCATCACATTTTCATTAACTTGCCCACTGGTGACAGAGTTCAAGCCACCCACATTGGCCAAGTCCATTGTCTAAATGGTCTTGTACTTGAAGATGCCCTTTATGTACCCAAATTCACTTTTAATCTGATCTCAGTGAGCAAGTTAACAACCACCAAACCTTTGTCCCTCACTTTTTCATCTGATTCTTGCACAATACAGGACCTGGAGCTGAAGAGAGTGACTGGTTCTGCTAAGCTATCCAAAGGCCTTTACCTCATCAACCTAGTTCTAGACAATATACCTAACCACATCACTGCTGCAGTTAGTTCTCCTTCCTTAGATATTTGGCACTTTCGACTTGGACATGTTTCCCACAGTCGCATTCCCTCTTTACAACAGCTTTGTACATCCATAGAAACTAACAGCAGCTTACCTTGTGATGTATGCCATTTTGCAAAACAGAAAAGGCTACCTTTCCCTTCCAGTTCCACTGTAACTACACATTGTTTTCAGCTCATACATGTTGACATATGGGGCCCCTACTCATCTCCTACTCATGATGGTTTTAAATATTTTTTAACCATCGTTGATGATCATTCTAGGATGACATGGATCATCCTTCTCACTTCCAAAGCTGAAACCAGAAACAAACTAAAACAGTTCTGTACCATGATCACCACCAAATTCAAAACAAATGTTCAAACCATTCGTAGTGATCAAGGACAGGAATTTCAAATGACTGATTTCTATTCAGAATCTGGCATCACACATGAGATGTCCTGTGTGGAAACTCCACAGCAAAATAGCAAAGTGGAACGCAAACACCAGCATATCCTAGCTGTGGCAAGGGCCCTAAAGTTCCAAGCAAACTTACCAATAGGTTTCTGGGGAGACTGTGTCAAACATGCAGTCTTCCTAATCAATCGTGTCCCAACTCCAGTCCTAGCTAACCTCACCCCTTACCAAAAGCTCTTCAACAAACCACCTGACTTACAGGACCTGAAAGTTTTTGGATGCCTCTGCTATGCATCCACCCTGAAAAACCACAGAACCAAATTCCAAGAAAGAGCCAGAAAATGTGTTTTTCTAGGCTATCCATCAGGAATCAAAGGTTACAGACTGTATGACCTTAACTCCCATGAGCTTCTCATCTCTAGAGATGTTCAGTTTCATGAAACTGAATTCCCCTTTCAGTCATTCCCCACCCCTCAACATAACTCACCAACTCCACCACCTACATATCCTATCCCATCCCTTCCTGTCCCTGATGACCCTTCTGTTTTCCACCCTACTGAACCAATACATGATCCATCACCTTCTTCCCCCAATATCCCTCTCAACATTCCTTTACCCTCACCATCCCCACCTATCCCTTCCACTGACCTTCCTATAGCCATCAGGAAACAACCTAGGACCATCAAACCACCAACCAAATTACAACAATACCATTGCAACCTGCTTCAGCAGTTTTCTTCTACTGGTCACTCTCTCCAGCAACAGGTCACAGGTATTACCTACCCCCTCTCTCATGTTTTGGATTACACATCTCTATCTCCTCACCATATGAAATACATCTTAAACATTTCTTCTCACAAAGAACCTGAGACTTATGAGGAAGCTGCCCTCAGACCAGAATGGAACAAGGCTATCAATCATGAGATTGATGCCCTTGAAAAGAATCAAACATGGGATGTTGTATCCCTTCCCCCACAGAGAAAACCTCTTGGGAACAAGTGGATCTTTAAGTACAAATTTCTGTCAGATGGCTCACTTGAAAGAGAGAAGGCCAGATTGGTTGCCAAAGGCTACAACCAACAAGAAGGGATAGACTACCAGGATACTTTTGCTCCTGTTGTCAAGATGACAACAGTAAGACTTTTTCTTGCTATTGCTGCTTCAAAGTCATGGCATGTTCACCAACTAGATGTGAACAATGCCTTTCTACATGGAGACCTAACAGAAGAGGTCTACATGAAGCTTCCTAAGGGTTACAAACCACCACCAAACATCATTAACCCAGTTTGCAGGCTCAAGAAGTCACTTTATGGCCTCAAACAGGCATCCAGGCAGTGGTTTGCTAAACTAGCAGATTGCCTTGTTCAACAAGGTTTTGTTCCCAGTCAGGTTGATCATTCCCTATTTACTAAATCAGTGGATAATTCTTACACCTGTGTATTGGTTTATGTTGATGACCTCTTGGTTGGAGGTAATGATTTGGAAGCAATCAAACAGCTCAAAGAAGTACTTCACCAAGCATTCAGCATTAAAGATATGGGCCAACTCAAGTTCTTTCTAGGCATTGAAGTTGCCAGAAACCAATCTGGAATTCATTTATCACAAAGGAAGTATACATTGGAGATCTTGGAAGAAGCTGATGTCTTACTATCCAAGCCTGTCTCTACCCCTATGGATTACAAGCAACATCTATCTTCAACTCATTCTGATTCCTATTCAGACCCTTCATTCTACAGAAGACTAGTGGGCAAACTCATCTACTTGACTACAACTCGCCCTGACATCAGCTTTGCCACCCAGCAGGTGGCCCAATTCATGTCCAATCCCAGCAATTTACATTATCAAGCAGTCACAAGGATTCTCAGGTACCTTAAATCTGCTCCATCCACTGGCCTCTTCTACCCATCCAATTCTACCCTCCACTTGAAGTCTTTCAGTGACTCTGACTGGGCATCCTGTATGGACACACGCCGCTCGGTCACCGGCTACTGTGTCTATCTCGGCAATGCCCTAATTTCCTGGAGGAGCAAGAAACAGAAAACAATTTCTAGGTCATCGTGTGAAGCAGAGTACAGAGCCATGGCAGACACAACATGTGAGCTTCAATCCCTACTTTACCTCCTCCATGACTTTCAGATTCCACATCAGCAACCAGCAGTTCTCTACTGCGACAATCAATCAGCGCTTCATATTGCCGAAAATCCGACTTTCCACGAGAGGACCAAACATATCGAGTTGGACTGTCACCTGGTCAGAGAGAAGCTCCAGAATGGCACCATCAAGCTACTTCATGTTTCCTCCCTACATCAACTGGCCGACATCTTCACCAAAGCTCTTCCTCCGGCCCTCTTCTCCACTCTCCTCTCCAAGCTCGGTGTGCACAATCTCTGCCCACCAGCTTGCGGGGGGGTATCAGAGACAAATTCAAAAATTTCATCCGCCTCTCCAACGGCCACCAAAGCAATCAGATGGAGCGACGTCGTCTCAGGGAAGTCAGGCAACACTTCGACTGGAACGCTGCCGTCTCAAAGCCACACTTCGAAGATGATCAATACGATGCCGTAGAGAACATCCAAGACTAAAGGAAGAAACGTCGCCGTTGTGTACTGGAGACACAACGTCTCTTTCCCTTGTCCAGAATTTGTTCCCTCTTTCTCTGTTTTTCTGTACTTCTTCTCTGCCAAGTTACAGCTAGAGCTTCTTGTCTTGTAATGCACGATCCTTGTATATAAACCCAATTGAATCAATGAGAAAAGCTAAGTTAGGGTTTCCAAGCATACCTGTTGTTACATCCGATCCTGTTCCATCAACTCCTGTTGGAAGTGTGGGTAAAGAGAAAGGCATGTCAGATAAATGTAGTTTGCCTAGGGGCTTAAAAGATAACAACGAAAATGTGGTTGAGGATGGTGGGCGCAAAGCTAAACCAAATGCCCAGTCTCCGCTGATAGATTCTCAGACCGGCACTCAATCGTTGAAAGAGTATGGAACTAGGACTCATGATAGTAATGATCAAGGTGGTAATGATGTAAGGTTTCTTAATCCACTTCACTTTGTTACCTCACGAGAGATCCTACTGTTTTATTTTTAGATTTTGTGAAAAAATGAGTTCTAGTTAGTTCTTAGTTGGATTCTTATAGTTGATTATGGAAGTTCTTGACTTCATGACTACTTAGCATGATTTAAAATTATCTTCTACTTTGCTTTGTCATAGAGGTGAATGATCTCCCTTTTTTGTTGAGGATTTTTGACAACCGTGTTGCCATTTTCAGACTCCACAAAATCATGTCATGCCATTGGTCAAGCAAAGTTCTGTTGACAATCAACGACTTGGGGTACATGGCAGTCCTCCGTTTGGCACTTCTGAAGAGCATCTGTGGAATTCTAAGAGACAAAAGTTGAACTATGGTTCCAAAGATACAACTTTGCCTAATGCCGGTCGTTTTGAGGCAAGGGGTTCTCAAGCTGAAAAACTTGTAATATCTCGTGTTCACAATCCTGCAGCATCAAATCAGCTCCCTGCAACCATAAATGTTTGTGGATTTTCTCAGTCCTCTTGCGTCTCACAGGTCAGTGCTCTTTTCATTTGTAGTCAAGATTGTCAACTCGCGGGTCAACCCGGATCCGGTCAAGCTAGTGGATTATGGGTTAATGGATCACCTGTTTTAGCACGTGTTAGCCCGGTTTAGCCCGAAAATGTTATAATTAATTTCATATATAAATTTATTATATATAAAATTTTAGATGAATTATAACATATAACATTACACCAACATAATAATTCGCACAAAAATTTATCCTATAATGAAAATTCAAACGCACTTAAATACACCATATCATATGATATCAGTATATTTATGATTTTTTTTTGTGCGAATATATTTATGATATTCGTATTCAAATGTAAAATTTTGAATAATTAAATGACTTATATAAACCTGCAAAATAAAATGATTTATTAAATAAACAACACAAGAAAAAGGGGGAGTTAGAAAGCCACTTAATCATCAAAGCCAAAATAATGAAGTAGAATTATAAAAAATATCAAATTTGATTAAGTAATAAGTAGAGAACAATAATTAAATGATAAAAATTAACCCTCAAAAGCATTGCATCCATCTGTTAGTATTTATTTATGAATTGGGTGGGGTCCCTCATGTCCACTTTCACATGGACCAAGAATGAAAAGCACTATCAGATAGAAATCTGGGAACCGCTGTTGGGGGTTGACCCTCCCGGGTTTGTCGGGTGTTGACCGGGTTAAAACGGGTTTGACCATTACGAGTCATTTGTTAAACGGGTGTATGTGGCCCGTTTTTGTTACTGGGTCCGGGTCAACCCGCGGGTTGACAACCTTGTTTGTAGTGTATTCTATATACAACACTTTTTGTTCAGATTAAAAAACATTATTTTAGTTTTTACTCAATGTTGGCAATAGCCGGATGGAGGTGAGAGGAGTGGGGTCTTAGAACCCACTTGGAAAGTAAATCATGATTGTATACAAGTAGATATTTACTTAATGTGGATAGGTTTAGACATCAGGTAGGGGTAGGCACTCAGTTCGGTAATAATTCTCGTTTGAATTGATGTCTTAATGTAGTGTATAATTCTGAAATCAGGGTTCTTTGGACCGAACCGATGTCGAGATTCGATTCGAAATCGGTTTAGCCTATGAAGTTTGTCAGTGACCCGGTATACATCATTTCGATTTGGTTTAACCGAACCGATGCCCACCCCTAACGTCGGACCCCATTGTTGCAAAATTCACCTTTCATTTTCAAATAAAGAACACTATAATATAAGATAACATTGGAAATCCTTAATTTGCTAACTTGCAATTACAAAAATTTCTCCTTTTGCTAGATATAAAAATACCTCCTACTATAACTAAGAACACAATTCAACTAAAGACATTTTTTTAAGATTAAATTTCTAGGTCATCAAATGCATTTTATAATGTCTATATGTGTTAGTTTATTTGATTGTCTAATACGCTTAGCTAACTATCGTAATGTCACTTTTCAAATTTAGATTGCACGAGAAGTAAGTTACACAATCAAATAATTTAGTTTGATGAATAATTACTTGAACGAATATATTGAAATAATTATATAATTGAGTAAATATTATAGAATTTATTCATAAATAGGTGCCAAGTAAGATTCGATCCTTGCTACGCTACTGGCAATAGCGAATCTTTAATAATCACATAGTTGAACTTGTATATGTAGTGTTTGAATTGATCGTGTTTGCATTAAATCAATGAGATTAGCAATAGCAAATCTCGTTTGATAGAATCTGATAGGGATAATTGTGTTTTTGTTTTGGTGACAGATTTGACATAACTTAGTTTGGTTACTTTTGAGTCAATTGTTGAATATTGTTTACAGGTTGTTTGGTTGTTACGAAAACGGGGCTTGGCTGTGGAACGATAAAGAAAAAAAAATGAAGAAGTAATATTTTATCAAAGTAAAATGTAATTACAATAAATTTGCCAATTATCAAATGCAGTAAACACAAAGTACCATTACTAAATAAATATTTACATTACAGCTTTTTAAAATTGTGATTACAATTGAAATAAGCAAAAGGTTCTAGAAAAAACAAGGGCTTGGGGGCAGAAAAGAGAGGAGAAGAACAAGCCATTCTTATACACTTCCTTCTTCGGGATTTTTTCAGAACCATTTTTAAAAAATTACAAAAATATTACCCAGTCCACACAAATTCCAAAATAGCATCAATTTTTAAAAACCACACGACAGAGTTGCGGTTTACAAAGAACTGCATGGGTTAGATGTGGTTCTTGATAGGGCAGCCCAAAAATTGCTTGGGGAAAGTGCAGTCAACACGCACTGCGTAATGGTCCTCAGGACCGTTGGATTAGACGGCGAACAAACGGTTGACTGCGCGGGAGCAGTGCGATCCGCGTCAGGGATCAAGAACCACGCCCTGGAAGAATGGTTTACTCCTCAGGTTGCATGAACCGCGCCTTGGAGATGTGGTTTTGATGGGGTAAAATTACTAAACCGTCCTTAGAGGATGCAGTCTGAGTGCTATAAAAAACCCTCCTAACCCTCTTTGGTTTTTCTTTCAAAACCCGTTGAATCTTTGTTGTTATAACCTTTTAATTAATCTATGTAATAACCTTGTTGTTATTCTCTCGTAGGTTGGGGACGATGTGGATATATACAACCAACGATATTATGTTGATCAAGGACCTAGTGATCCAACCGTGTTGTACGACCAACCCAACCATCGTTCAAGGGATGTTTGGAACGATCTTGAGGTACATACAATTCTTCATAATTTGTCATTCTTTTATTTTGCTAACGTACTTAGTGGAATATAAATTAAATTTACTCATTTTTAATCGTAATGGTTGTTTTTAATAATTTAATTGAATACATAACGTTACTTAATTAGACTCTTTATAAAGAGATGCATGTCTAAGAAAATGGGATTTTAAGCGATTATCATAATCCTCTCATTCCCTAGGAAAATTGGGTTTTAAGCGATCATCAGAAGTCGGATCCCCCATTTTTCTGCCAAAAAGGCTACGTTTTAAGAAAATGAATACATCTCCTAAGAGTCTAACGAGTGTTGCATTGTATTCTATTAAATTGTATTTAAAACAACCAATACGATTTACACAATAATGTCGAGTGTTGCATTGTATTCTATTAAATTGTATTTAAAACAACCAATACGGTTTACACAATAATGTCATGGATTTATGTGTATGTGTAACAAATTAATTTTATTAATTTAATTTTTTTGAATATGTATAGGTGTAAATTATTATTCATTTAAATTGTTATTTATTTTAATTGAGTATGTTTGTTTTATGAAATTATGTATATATATCTTGGAAACAACCTTGAATCATTTTAAATTGTTTGTTATAATAGATTTATAATAAAAATATGGTTAAAGTTAAATCATTTATTTTAATTAATTCAGTTATTAAAAACCTTGATACTAGTATATCATAAACTTATGGTAAACGTTAAAATTTTTGTTAGGAGGCACACCAAATAATTCGCTACAGGGGTACGACCAATGTGCTCCCATGGAACGACGTTATCTTGCCATTTCTCAAAAAGGCACGGTTGGAGTCGATTAGACATTTTTCTGGTATAAAAATTGATCGTCAACTCATCACTGCATTGGTGGAGAGATGGCGAAAAGAGACACATTGCTTCAACTTTCGCGAAGGAGAGTGCACCATCACACTAAAGGACATCGCGATCCTAACCCATTTGCCCATCGACGGTAATGTGGTGTGTGTGAACGATCATCCGCCACCGGATGTTGGCGATATGACTGGTTGGCAACATTTGATCCACAACGTTTTGGGGGTGCGTGTGCCAGTCAAGGGAAGCGTTGATGCGACAGATCGCTTAGCACCATTGAGGACCAACCAAGTATCAATCACTTGGTTGACGAAGTGGATCAAGAACTTGCACGACCCAACAAAAGGCGGGGTGCCCCTGACCAAGGAAAGTCCAGAGGCGGTGAAGGAAAGATATGCTCGTGTGTATCTCATAGGCATGATCGGAGGAGTGTTCTTCCCCAAGAAAGCCAACAATTTAATTAGTTGTGGATGGCTTAAGATCCTCCTTGGTAATTGGGATGCGATGGGGGAGTTGAGCTGGGCATCCGCTTGCCTAGCTAATATATACCACCATTTGTGTAATGCATCTCTCAAAGCTGTGAGAGAGGTTGGCGGGGCGATGTTCATCGTCCAATTTTGGGCTTGGGAGCATCTGCCATTGATTGCACCGATCAATCATCTCGACAAGAACTGGCCAATCGACCATCCCCTAAGAGGTCAAGCTTATGGTTGTAGGTAAACTTCATATACCCAATCATGATTTTCATAATTCAATTTCGTTTGTTATTTAGTTATAACATTTCATTATTGTCCTTATTAATAAGGTGGGTTGGAGTCACAACTTGCGACAACCTTTCCGAACACAAATTGGCAGAGTATCGGAGGAGGCTAGAGCGACTTTTGGAAGGAGAGGTAACGAAAATACTTCGAACTTCTCAATTTGTTATTTTTTATATGTATTATCCAATTTCGTTTAATTTAAGTTGGCCATTTCTTTTTGTAGATCATTTACGATCCATACCCTGAGAACATCGTTCACTGGCATTGCCAGCAATTCTCTGGTCATGTCGGTCAATGGTGCACGAGAGTCCCTCTCATTTGTCATCATATCATGGAGTGGCACCTCCCAGATAGATGCCTCCGTCAGTTTGGTCGGGAGCAATGCATTCCTCTAGAGGTCCCTGAGAGTCAAAAGGCGTTTCACCACCGAGATGGTCGTCAAGGTGCTGAAGATTGGCCTTTGAAGTTGAAGAAATTCATCACCATGTGGGATAACCGACAAGATTTTGAGATTGTCACTCCAACAACAGTGCGTCGAATGGGGTATCATGACCCATACATGGATATTTATCGACAACAGTCGGTAAGGTATGTGACTCCGGAGGGTGCGGCTGATGGTGCACTGGTAAGTAATTATGTCTAAACAATTCAATTTATTGCACATTCATTGACATATCATATGAGTTTTAGCTCGCTAACTTTGTTACTTAATGTGATTTAGGTTGATAGGCTCGAGCTTATCAAAGATATGACCCATGGTCGAGATGAGCTCGTCAATGAAGAAGTTGATTTCCTGAGGAGAATAACAAATAGCCTACTTGGATGTGTCAGAGCACGGGGTCGGGATCATCATAGATACCCGTATATGCTCGAGCAAGCGCTACCTCAGGTAGCTGTTGATATCGACAACCCGCCACCGTCATATCGTAGAAGGCAAAACAAGAAGGCAAAACATTGAGATGGGTTTCTAAGCAAGGTGCTCCGTTAGGTTCTTTGGTAAGTTAAATCCTAATTTTCCTAATTAGTTTTTTCCCACTTGTTTTAAAATAAATTGGGAGCACTAACTTCGTAAGTATTTTGACTTAGGTGGACGGTTTGGAAATTGCGAAGAACATTGTAGAGAGTGCAAACTTCATTGATGCTGCTAATACCTCTTTTTTGCGGAAGCACTTTAAAAACCTCTTGTACTACCAACAATATCAAACTCCATTAGAATCAGTTCGCCCATCGAGTGACGTCCTCACTCCACCTCCAATGTGGACTCCTATGGTAACTCAAGTTAAGAGGCATCTGCGAGCTGGCCGACAAGAAGGACGAGGAAGAGGGCAACAAGGAGTACGAGGAAGAGGGCGACAAGGAGAAGACAATGAGGAAGGACAATGAGAATGATTATGTCTATCGTTAATATGTTTCTTCTTCTATTTGTATGTTTAATATCAAGTTTAAGTCTTAGGGGTCGTTTGGATCAATATAGAAATGAGTCAATTTGATCAATTGTCTCGTTTTATAAACGAGACAATTAAAACAAGTCAATTCGAATTACCTGTCTCCACCCCAGGTAATTGAAATTGACTCAAAACGGATCAATTCAAAATACCTCAGACATATTGATCCATCCAAAATTTTTACTAACAAACGAGGCAATTTGGTACAATTGTCTCAAAATGAGACAATTATGTCAAATTGATCCGTTACAATTCCTCATCCAAACGACCCAGTATTAATATATTCCATCTTCTAGTGATATGTTGAGTGTCAAGTTAAGTTTAAGTTGTTGCTATGATTAGTATTATTATGTTCAATCTTCTCGTGGTATGTTTAAGATCAAGGGACATACTTCCCTGTGCATTAATGTTTAATTATTAAGCTAAAGTTGCTACAGATTTACAACAATAAAGAGACAGCTTTTAGATATTTTAAGTTTGATCAGTAATATTCATTTGGGTTTTAAGTGGAATCTCAAATCTTGCTTTTTATTTATTTCGCGGAATCGAGTAGCTAGAAGCATTGATATCCTACAATCAATATATAGAGGTTCCGGGTGAGAACCCATTCAATTGAGTTTTTCCTAGCCTATGCGCATAGTTAGGGAGGATTCCTTGGTCATTTTGGTGGGTTTAAAACACCCAAATTATTAATTAAAATAATTAAATCGGATCTCCAAGACTCCAAGTAAAAAGAGCCATTCCTTTTTAGTTAATATGTTATATATATATGGAGCGCTTCTTTAGTCAAAAGTATATATGTGGTTCAAATTAGCTTTGCATTTTGCTATTTAAATTATGATTTAACCAAAGTTTGGGACATACTACTATACCATATTCACTAATAGGTGAACTACAATCGCTAATTTTCTAACCCAAATTATGAGATTCATTTAATCTTAAAATAACAATTGATAGTTCTGATTCATCAAAATATATCAAAGTACAAATAATAGGTGTGAACGCAAGCGTATAGCATACGCGAGACGTACGATAGACTTTGTTTTATATATATGAGATCATCTACTATACTTCAAATTATTGGTGTTTGCAACAGGAATGATTATCCCTGCCCAATTCATTAAAGTATAAATTCAATTTGCACGATAACATTAAGTATAAATCCAATTTGTGTCATAAAGTAATATGTATGAAAATATATAGGTCAAACTGTACCATAATGTTAAAGGTACACGTTCACTTTGCACTATAAATGAATTTAATGAAGAAGTATAAAAATAAACTGAATTTGAAGCATTGTAAACTGAATTTGAATTTGCATGAAAAAGGATATAAGTTCAATTTGTAGCATAGAATAATTTATTTTTTTTGCATGCGAAAGCATCAATCATATGAAGCATTGTAAACTTCATCATTATATATTTATTGAAATTATTATTATTAGCAGTTGTGTTTTATTGTATCCATTTAGCTAATTTAGAATATTGTTAGTTTATTAATATATTAGTTGTATAATCAACATGCATAACCACTCCAGTATTAGTTTTCAATTAATCATATATCATTTGTTATAATTTAAATTTTAATCTTTGAACTAAAAATCAAATTAATTATACTATAAAAAATTATATCCATTTTGACATATTTGAAATTAAAAAGTATATTAGTCTAGCATCATGTAACATCATATATAAAATAGAATTTATGTACTATCAATTCTTCTTTAGCGGTACTTGATATAGGCGACAATTTCTAGCTAATCGTATCCCCACCATCAAAATTTTGTTACATTGTTAAAAAAGTGGTTCATACCTTGCTTGATGTACTTTTTTTTATAACCTAGGAACCTCAACCCCACATGCCACTTTGTGACAACGAGGTCTATTTAACCTGGGTAGCACCTACACATGACTATCAGGGAGGTCGAAGCCCCAAAGCTCAAAGAGTGCCTCCGGGAACACTAAGTAACGGATCGGGTGTTAGAACATGAGACCTCTCACGTCTCAAGCCCGAAAGACCACACTCAAGGCCAACTCGCCTGTGTTACCTTCGGGTTGCTTGCTATACTTTGACTAAGCTTCAAATCTTCCTAAAGTTTACTTAGAATGATCATGATACTCCCACCTAATCTATAGGTTTAATTATTTTTAGTGTAGACCACTGAATTTTCCTAAGCCATTTTACAAATTGGGCAATAAAATCTATAGATATATAAGAAAAAAAGGAAACGTATTTATTGGAGAATATAATGCCTACATATTATTCATTAAGTTTCCAATCTATAAATATTCAAATTTGTCCGTTGGTCGTTGGGTTGTTGGCGTTAGGAGAAAGAACAAATCTCATTAAATGTTCATAAGACATAAACTCTACTGCGCGTAATGTTTAGTGTTTCCAAATATTTTACTATGGGCTTCTAAAGGAAAGAAAGTAGGAACAACCTATTGTGAAGATAAATATTTCATTAAGGAAGTCAAAATAAAATTTGCAATAATTCTTCACAACGATGAGTAAATAGTGTGGTTTCATTAAATTTATAGGAGTCAATTTTCTTACATGACTTTTGTTTTTACTTGGAGTAATGATTTTAGTCAATAAACCGGGTTAGCATGTTTAAAGTTATACCAATATCATATTTCCGGTAACTTAATGATTTGAAATTTTTAGGAAATGAAATAATACATGCCTTTTCGAGACAATTACTATGTTTATTTATATATTAATAAAATTTATCCGGCCAACGGCACATTGAAGATTAAATTATGCAATGGATATTGATGCAAATCAAGTTATGCATCCTACAAATCCTATATAGAGGTTCTCCTTCGGGAGCCCCTTAATTTCACTTTTTCTTGCTCCAGCGCATAGCAAGGAAGGTGCCTTTGGTAATTCCATTTTAATTCTTATATGGGCCTTAAGAGTTAAGACTATGGCTACCTATTTCCATGTCAGCTTGCTATATACGGGTTATAATTCACATGTCCATGCAATTTATTTCATTTTAATTCTTATGGGCCTTAAGACTATGGCTACCTATTTCCAGCTTGCTATATACGGGCTATAATCCACATGTCCATGCAATTTATTATTATTACACACGCTATCTCTTAATATGCATTTACTCGAGACACTTGCCAAGTGCAGGGTGCAATAAACCAACGTTTTCAGACGCGCATAGGATGTTGAACTGAAAAAGTTAGTGATAGATGCTTCAACGGTTAAATGGTATATAATTTTAGGTTAAGCATTGATATAATCGTTCATACGATATAATATAAAAAAATTATTACTACCCATAAAAAATTATAAATTAATATCATCTATCACAAAAAATTCAAACAAAGCATTCAAACCATATCACCAAAAAAAAATCATAATTTTTTTCTTATATTAAAGTCGATAATAAGAGTGACAAAACATAGTGAACAATACAAATCCAACAAGGAGGTTGAGAAATAAAAATATAAATCATAAATAAAATTAGTGATTAAGGTTGGATAGTCTTAGTTTACATTAACGTACTTTTTTCCTTAATTTTTTATGGTTAAAATAGTGAACCGGTGCATGAGTTGAACCGTGGTGTTCATCTGGTTTCATGTCAATCCGTTAAAAACCATTTGGTACATCTCTAACCGTCCAATCAAATGAAACAAAATGCTATTGGCCAACCGTTGATCCGGTTTGATTTTTACATGAAGAAAACCGATAAAAGAATCTTTAAAGCCTAAATTAAGTGAACAAGAAGAGATTCAAAATTTTAGAAAGATTACCTCATCAATTCATTAAAAATTTATACGACACACAAATAGCTAAATTACTTAATTAAAAATGAATACTAAATAAAAGTGGCATTACCTTGCAATTGCATTTATGCTATTCCCACCCAACACACCCATCCCTTCACAGTTGATTATCTGTTAGCTTATGAATTATTTCATATATTCTGCCATTGCCATTGCCATTGCTCTTTTACTTTCGCAAGCAAATCCTTATTCAAATGTTGTTGTTTTTACTAAATTTAGTATATTTTTCATACTCACTACCCAATTGCAATTGCATCTGTGTTATTATGTATTGGTAGTAGCTATAAATTAATCGGTTCACGTATATTCATGGTTTTGTGGAAGGATTCAATTGTATTTTAGTGCTATAATCCTTCAAACGTTGTTTCCATATTTACTTCCCAAATTTTACTAATCACACACTCAAGAATTAAGATTTAGCTTATTACATATTTTTTAAGTTAATGATATTCATTGTGAAACAAAAAACAAAAATTTGTTTCACTGTTGTTTTAATTGGAGGTTAGTCAGTATGAAATCCAAGTTGATATCTGATCTCACAACTTAAAAAAGGAGTTGTTTCGAGAAATTGGTTGTTAATCGATCCCAAGACGGATATTATTCTTTGTCTCGACACGATAATTATTGACTTAAAGTGTAAACTAACAACAACCATGTGAATTCAACTCTATGATTCTATTTTTGAAACATTATTAATATTCCTACTTTTTTCTTCAAGATGGTGATATTTGAGTGAAAATTCCCAAAGGGAAAATCAATGACTTTCGTCCCCTACTTGACTAGAGAGTTTACACTATCAAGAGTTTATGGCAAGTATGACAACGGCTTACAAGCCAATTCTAAACAAATTGGTCTCAAGTTTGAATCAATACAGAAGGCGAAGCATGTGATGATATTCCAGCCATACCAACTTACAAGTTTAATTTCATCTAACAAGATGAGATTGACAAGAAGTGCAACTAAAGAAAATTTCTTTCAGTTTTGAATTACTATTCTCAATGTAAATTTACTTCATTCTAATGTGTATACAACCAAAAACATTAATTAAAATTTTAAAATTTTCATTCCACAGATGTTGTTGGCCAGCTTATTCAATATTCGGGTTTATTGATATCTAACACTCACTAGAAGTATTACCAGCAATGATGCTCCAACTAAAACTTATCGAGTGTTTAATTCTTTTTATTTTCAGTTTAAAATAGCACGCATTACTTTAACTCTAATCGAAAATCTAATATACAATTTGGGTGCAGGGGATTGGTTATCAAGGTAAGTCTCTTTGATAGGATAGTTACC